AAATATTGCATGGCATTACCAATAGCTGTCCCTGTCCAAAAATACTAATTCTGGCTTCTCAACATCGAAAGATTTCCCACCTTCATAAAAGGGGTGTGTTGCAAACTGTTCCTTTAGCCAAAATATGTAAGTCAAACATACTACTCTGTCCATTTGTAATATTACCAGGGGTCCTAACCTAGAACATAGCCAAAGAACTCACAAAACAGCTTGAATTTCTCATAGAGAGGATTAAATATTCTATCAATTCTCCGTTATAATGCCTCCAGAAAATCAAAGACCCAAGAATAGAGGAGTTTATGATTCCATTTGATGACATAGCACTCTTCATGTTCATAGATCCAAAACTAGTGAAATAATCCATTACAGATGTACTACAAGAAGTGGGGAACAGGTGAAAAGATTAGTGGCCTGCTAACTTTTAATAGAACTGATACAAGTGGGAAAAAACATTTCTGCAGCTTGACAAGCTTATTTATTAAAGGTCTGTTGGGGCCTGGCATATTTCTGTATTCTGCAGTAGCTTAATTTGTGTAGAATGCAATCTGTATGAGAAGGATGAGACTGAATTTGATTTGACGCCTACAAGTCTTCAGATTTTCTTTCATCTAGAATGCTGATAACACATTAGTAAAAGCAGAATCAAAAATAATGCACCATATTGTTTTTGAGGATGATTTGAATTGAAATTTAAACGTTGAATTATGTTTGTACTGTATATACAAAATATTTTGTGATTTTGGCTAACTTTGATGTAATCAATAGGGAAGGTTTTAAAACAAAACATAAGGTTTTGACTGAGGGAAGCAGAAGAGACTTTGAAGGGCTACAAATGATTAACCTAAATTTGTATCTGCTTCTAAATAATTTTGAACAATGTACATTTACATAGTTTTGATGTAGAATTTTTAAAATATTTATGTTCATCTGTTCTCTGTGTAAAGCTACTGCCTTAAAATTTTGGTAAACATCTTTTAGGAGTATAAGAAATAATTTCAAGAGCCCAATGTATTCTATTTCCATTTTCAGAACAAGGATTCTGTGCTGCCTTAGTGCTTTTGTAAAGGTTGGTGGATCTCTTCTTCTTCTTCAGCCAACTTGACTAGATCTCAAGACCAAGATGCAGTAGAGTAAAAAACAGTCCATATTATTCTTATAGAATAGAAACAAGGACATGATTGTCTTGCTTGTTTGTAGAGGTAGAATCTGAAGATTGCTGAGTTATTTCCCCCTCCCCCCAACTGATGTGTCAAACCTTGTGAAATACAAAAGAATAAAGCAACATAAGAGAATGAAAGAAAGCACTTTTTTATTTATTTATTTATTTATTTGATTTGCCAATTGTTTACAAGATAATAAGTATAAGTGTATACATAGTTGTGAATACATGAAATGGGTACATATAAGAAAAATAAAAGAAGAATAAGAGAAACAATAGGACAGGGACGGTAGGCACGTTGGTGCGCTTATGCACGCCCCCTACAGACCTCTTAGGAAAGGGGTGAGGTCAATAGTAGACAGTCTAAGGTTAAAGTTTTTGGGGTTTGGGGAAGAAACTACAGAGTCGGGTAGAGTATTCCAGACATTGACCACTCTATTGCTGAAGTCGTATTTCCTGCAATCAAGTTTGGTGCGGTTAACTTTGAGTTTGTATCTATTGTGTGCTCTTGTGTTGTTATGGTTGAAGCTGAAGTATTCATTGACAGGTAGGACATTGCAATGTATGAATTCTGCATTCGTTATATTAAACTGATTTGCTATTTGTGTATTTATATAAGCTATGTCAATTGTAATTGAATTCTTTTGAATATATGAATCAACTGCACGTTGATTCGGGGCCATTGTAACTCTAAATGGTTACAAACAGTTTTAAGTCAAGGACTAACTATATTGTAAGCTATATTAACAGAATCCTGCAGGTCTGAAAGTACAAACTTCCTGTGATTACTTTTAATTGCTTGATTTATTAAGATTTCCTAAGTTTCTTTCTCTGGCTGTTAAGCAGCTGGGGGCTGCCACATCTCTTGTCTGATTGTGTCCTAGGCAGCATCTCTTGTTCTCCCAGGTCATCTACAAATTCCATTATGAAAAGAAAGTATGCGAACCCAATGTCCTTTTGAAGGCGCCAACTGTGGTTTGAGGAAGATGGCTATTCCTTTGTTTCCAGAGCTCTAAACCCACCAGAGACCATTGTTTTATAGTCTCCTCACAAGAAGAAATTATATTGGACATTCTCCAATGAGTTGCTTCGAGCATCCAGTAGTGGGAGGTGCTTAGTTTCTGCTCGGATAGGCTGAGCTTAATTGATAGGACAGTCCTCCTACTCCACGGGTTCCTCCTTAGCGTCCCCCAGTTTTAGCTCAGCCTTCGTTGAGTAGGCAGCTTTCTCCTTGGCTGGAATAGGAGCAAGTTTGAGGTTTGGTCAGGAGATACTAGAAAATACAGGCAGTCCTCGACTTACAACAATAATGGAGCCTGGAATTTCCTTCGTATGTTATGATGGTTGTAAGTCAAGGCACCCATGCGACTGAAATGATTTTTCATGGCAATTCTTAAGCGAACCTGTTGTCTGCAATAAGTGGTTTTTGCCAAAACCTATGGAAAAACAGTATAAATCTTGGTCATGTGAACGGGACTCTGCAAATGGCTGTAAACGTGTCCCGAATGGATCTTGTGACCATGGGGGAAGAACCTTGAATCCAGGTTGTAAATACACGTTGGGAGTTCTGCTGTAATTTCTGACTTAGTTGCTTAGTGAACGAACGGTTGTAAGCTGAAGGCCACTTGTAAGTTTTCAGCTGAATGGCATTATTCAAATCAAATCAAAACATAAGGAATTTGCAGTAGCCTTGTGTCTGGTTTATCATTTAATTCCACACCAGCCTGTTATAAATCTTACCAGAACATTCCCTTGGCAACCTATAAATCTGCCCTCAAGATGCCAATAAAGGATATCTTCATTCTAGCATTTGGCACCCTAAATTGTCCCCTCCTTTTGACTTGTTTTTTTCTGACGAAGACAATTGCTTCCTTTGAAGATAGTAGACAGCAGAACGATAGAAGGTAACCTGAGGTTTATTAGTTTGTTACTTATATATATATATTTATCCATGCATCATATCTCTCTTTTCTGAAATGTATAAATATCAGGGCGTCTCTTTGGCTTAAGGGGCAGCTCTGAAGTTTAGAGGGGCTCACGGTCCTTTTAGTGAGGTCTCCTCTAGCTCTGCACTATTGATATAATAAAGCACTGCAGTGAGCCTGGATTGTTTGCTTTGTTGACCTATGTTATGATTCCCCAGAAAGAGTGGTGATTTATTCCATATTGGTATAGCTGAGGATCCAAAATTAGGTCCTTTATGGAGATATGGACCAATCTGCATCTTGCAGCTAATGATGAGAACATATGTGTTGGAGGCAGAACTCTGCTTGAATGTAGGAGATGCTTCTCCTGGCAATAGAGACAAATCTGTGGAGGATTACATTTGCCAAATCCTAAAGTCTAGACAGGCATCATGTGAGAAATGGGGAGGTTAGATTGCTGAATTAAATAGCTAAGAAAATATTAACCTTATTTGTTCTGTTTCTTATTGATTCTGCTGGACACGTTTTCTGCTGTAACAAATGCTAGCTCTACTGAAGCATTAAGTGGGCATTTAAAGGTACTTTTGCTATTCACTAGACAATCCATGACCCATTGGGTCGTTGTTTCAGAGATATTTCCTTACCTAAACAGAGAAAAACAATTTCTGCAGGCAGGCAAAAAAAAAAAAAAAAATTCAGTAGCAAGGGGGAGTGACGTTCAACTTCCTGTTGGCTTCCCCATTGAATTTCCTTGTGGGAAGCTCGCAGTGAACTTGGAAATCTTCCTTCCTTCCTTCTTTCTCCCCTCCCTCGTATTGAGTCATCCTTTCAAAGATGCTTACTAACTGGATTCCTCAGTGCCTTCAACAATAAAACAGCTTCTGATATATAGCTTTCACTGGAAAAGTTGGGATGTATTCAGAGACGTGTCTGCCTTGAAAACAACTCATGTATCGCAGTCAAACATCAGCACCGGAAATGTTTCATGACATTTTGCATTATGTCATAAAAGTGCTTTATAATAATACTGTTTATGAAATAAAATGTTTTATAAAATTTGACACATTTCAATTTCATAGGAGACATGGGTTCCAGATTTTGAACCCATTTTGAAAGTTAGCCCATCTGAAGTGCCTCGGTTGAAAATGTTTTATCCTATGGTGCACCATTTCACCCAGTTAAATAGTACAGGAATTAAGAGTTATTGGTAGTGTATAGTTGTACATAAGTACAGTTAGAAAAATAACTCTTTGATTATCTTTACTGGTTTTGTGAAAAACAAACTGTATATGGATGGTTTGACTTATTTCGAATCCTGGAAAAGAGTGTGGGTGTGAGTCTATGTGTGGATGGAGATGGATATTTTAAATTGCCCTGTAGGAGGTATGGTCATTGTATATACTTAGTTTGTGTGGAATCTGGATACCCTCAGTTAAATGAACTTGGATAGTAACGGGAGAGGAGGGAGAATCCTGGCAAGGATAGGAAACAGCTATTTATAGAATATAAATTTGACTACAGGTAGTCCTCATTAAGTGACCATTTGTAGTTATAACGGTGATGAAAAAGTAACTCTGCAATTAGTCCTCGCATTAACAACCTAGGCAGGCCTTCAAAGCAAAAGAAAGCTGTGGTAAAATCATAAGCACAGTCACAGTTTCACTTAGTGACTGCCCCACTTAAGTGAGTTGCTGGTCCCAGTTGTGGTCAAGGACTACCTGTAGTTACTTTTGAGACACCAGACCTATTGCAGCTATATAAATAACCGATGTGGATGGGCCAGTTTTTAAAAGAACCTTGCTTTAAAGGACAGTTGTAGTTTGACTTATTAAACTCTCCCAACGCAGGACTTCTACTGACTAATGGCAATCCTTGAGCAGGTAAACCTCCTTAAACGGTATGTGTTCTTTGTGTAGGCTGCGAGGATATTATTGCCGAGAGCATCTCACTGGAAACCTTAATTGCCGTTCTCAAGTGGAGCTCCCAGCCTTATGGCTCCAAGTGGGTACACCGCCAAGCCCTACATTTCCTCTGTGAGGAGTTTTCCCAAGTAATGACTTCAGATGTCTTTTTTGAACTTTGCAAAGACCACTTGCAAACTGCTATCCAGTCAGACTACTTACAGGTAATTGTTTCCTCCCATTCAATTATTTTTTTTATTAAGTGCTGAATCAGGCTTTCTTACTAATGATAGGGAACAGAAACATGCGCATCCTAAAACTTTTGACCACAGGAGAAAAACAGAAGAAGAAGCAAAACCTGGCTTGAATTCATGTGTGCAGAACAGGTTCTTCCTCTTTCCTTAATTCTGGCATTTATACACACAAGTTGCTTTTAGAGGTAGTGATTAAGGAAAGTATTCTCCTTTCCTGGCATATAACCCAGCCCAAACTGACAGTATAAACTATTGCTTGAAAGCCTAATAATAGCCTACAAGCAGTTGCAAATTATTTTAAGTGAAACTCTTTTAGGCTTAATTTTTGTCTTGCCTTTTCAGAGGTTTATAGAAATTATACAGTAGTCTCACACTAACAACATACATTTGAAGAAAATGGGAAATCCAGGCTCCTCATTGAAATACACTTTTCTTGTTGGATAGGTACTGAATCTCCCTGATTTTGATTGCTTCATTCCTCCACTGTCCTGTTCTAGTTTAGTAAATGAAAAAAGCTCCATCAATTGTTGTTACCTAGTTGAAAAAGCCTCTCACTGGAATTGCATATTACTTTGAAAAATACATCTTTGTATGGTTTTTTTTGCTCTGATTACATAGCATGAAATTTGGAAACTTTGGTTCATATACTTGTCTTATTTTTCAGTCCCTCCAGCTTCAGAATAGCTAAAGTTCTTTTTAAAAATCAGAATGTCAGTCATATTCCTTTACATGTTATTAAATATCAACTAGGGGCCTATGGTTAGCTCCAATTTCTTTGTCCCCTGGTTTCTTTTGGCATATCAAGAATACTTTAAAAAGGAAGTGGTTTGGGATTATATTTATCTTGTTTCATTTAAATATTTCTGAAGCATATCATATGCTTAGAGAAGGACCAATATGTTAATTCATGCTTGCCTGGAATAAAGCAGGAGAAATGAGAGAATTTCTTGCTTAAACATCCACAAATCCATTTGGGCGGAGAGGAGATGCAGGCAATGGCATCCACAGGGTCTGTGTGTCAGCCCTTCCAGATAAACCAGACAGGAAATGTGAATGGATGAGCTAATTTTACTTTATTGCAAGGCTCCATTAACAGAATCTTGCATGTCTGAGGGTACAAACTTCCCACCACTATTTTTAACCGCCTGATCAATTAGGGTGAGACTCTTAAACCACTGGGAGCTCCTGTCTGTCTTGGCTAGTTGTTTCCTAGGCAGCAACTCTTCCCCTTGTTTTCCAAGGTCATCCACATATAATATTATAAGATTATACACTGCTCAAAAAAAATAAAGGGAACACAAAAATAAGACATCCTAGATCTGAATGAATGAAATATTCTTATTAAATACTTTGTTCATTACATAGTTGAATGTGCTGACAACAAAATCACACAAAAATTATCAATGGAAATTTAGCAATCCGTGGAGGTCTGGATTTGGAGTTACACTCAAAATTAAAGTGGAAAAAAACACTACAGGCTTATCCAACTTTGATGTAATGTCCTTAAAACAAGTCAAAATGAGGCTCAGTAGTGTGTGTGGCCTCCACGTGCCTGTATAACCTCCCTACAATGCCTGGGCATGCTCCTGATGAGGTGGTGGATGGTCTCCTGAGGGATCTCCTCCCACACCTGGACTAAAGCATCCCCCAACTCCTGGACAGTCTGTGGTGCAATGTGGCATTGGTGGATGGAGCGAGACATGATGTCCCAGATGTGCTCAATTGGATTGGTCTGAGGAACGGGCGGGCCAGTCCATAGCATCAGTGCCTTTGTCTTGCAGGAACTGCTGACACACTCCAGCCACATGAGGTCTAGCATTGTCTTGCATTAGGAGGAACCCAGGGCCAACTGCACCAGCAGATGGTCTCACAAGGGGTCTGAGGATCTCATCTTGGTACCTAATGGCAGTCAGGCTACCTCTGGCAAGCACATGGAGGGCTGTGCGGCCCCCTAAAGAAATGCCACCCCACACCATTACTGACCCACTGCCAAACAGGTTGTGCTGGAGGATGTTGCAGGCAACAGAACGTTCTCCACGTCGTCTCCAGACCCTGTCACGTCTGTCACATGTGCTCAGTGTGAACCTGCTTTCATCTGTGAAAAGCACAGGGCGCCAGTGGCAAATTTGCCAATCTTGGTGTTCTCTGGCAAATGCCAAATGTCCTGCACGGTGTTGGGCTGTAAGCACAACTCCCACCTGTGGACGTCGGGCCCTCATACCACCCTCATGGAGTCTGTTTCTCACCGTTTGAGCAGCCACATGCACATTTGTGGCCCGCTGGAGGTGATTTTGCAGGGCTCTGGCAGTGCTCCTCCTGTCCCTCCTTGCACAAAGGCGGAGGTAGCGGTCCTGATGCTGGGTTGTTGCCCTCCTATGGCCTCCTCCACGTCTCCTGATGTACTGGCCTGTCTCTTGGTAGCGCCTCCATGCTCCGGACACTACGCTGACAGACACAGCAAACCTTCTTGCCACAGCTTGCATTGATGTGCCATCCTGGATGAGCTGCACTACCTGAGCCACTTGTGTGGGTTGTAGACTCCGACTCATGCTACCACTAGAGTGAAAGCACCGCCAACATTCAAAAGTGACCAAACCATCAGCCAGAAAGCATAGGAACTGAGAAGTGGTCTGTGGTCACCACCTGCAGAACCACTCCTTTATTGGGGATGTCTTGCTACCTGCCTATGCTTTCCACCTGTTGTCTATTCCATTTGCACAACAGCATGTGAAATTGATTGTCAATCAGTGTTGCTACCTAAGTGGACAGTTTGATTTCACAGAAGTGTGATTGACTTGGAGTTACATTGTGTTGTTTAAGTGTTCCCTTTATTTTTTTGAGCAGTGTACTTATGACTATGCAATCAAAGCCCTTAGTACAAACATACAACAAGTGGGATGGGGGGAGAGTTAATTCATACAATTGCAACTGCCATCTTTTTTTTAATTTCTCCTTTGGACACCATGTTCATGTATCCTATTGATATCATCATCATCATCATCATCATCATCATCATCATGTATTTACACTTACATGCTGCCTCACTCCAGCACTTCTGTCAGTTCTTAGTGACTGTTCAATCCACTTTTCAGTTCTTCTGCAATGCAATGCAAGAAGCAGAATTTCATTTCGGGAGTGGGGATATTATAGTTTTCTCTCTTCTTTATATTTCACTCATCAAACTACTTTAAGTATTTAAAAAAAATTAAAATGCTAGCATTCTACAGAATAAAATACAAGGCAATGCAACACATCCCCTCCCCCCCCCCAAAAAACATTGCAACAGCAACAAAAAGTCCAGATACATATTATTAGGCACTTTTGTGCAACAACTAGGTCTCAAAGATACCCCCAGGACTATTGATTGAAAGAGAATGAAAATTTACACACACACATGCACTCATAAGGAAAAGTAGAATACTTCAATAAAATCCCTTTGTAGAATTAGCAGTGCTAGTAATAAAAACTGTAGGAGTTTGACTGAAATGCAATGAGCAACAGTAGCATATTGTGTTACAAATCTTTGGCATTAAGGAGCTTAATGAGCTGTAATTTATTATTAATCTAAACTTCATTAGAATAAGCACTTTTGGCCTAAAAGTTGATTTGATGATGCTGTGTGCCTACGACTACGTTTTTTTATGTTTTGTTTTAAATCCCTCTTCAATAGGCGAGTGAGCAAGATATCTTGAAATACCTTGTGAAATGGGGTGAACATCAATTAATAAAAAGAATTGCAGATCGAGGTAGGTGTTTACTAGATACTATGTTTCACTGTTAATAAGGAAATACTTGTATTTAATATTGAAATGCAGACTGAAACATGCATTTTAGTATGAAATACAGTGCTTATGAAGCTAACATTCATTCATTCATTCATTCTACCCACTACTCATATTTCCATGTTGGAAATGGTGAAAGGACTTGGTGACATCACCATTGTCCAGGGGCAGCCACCCTGTCTGTAATAGCAGCAGAAATTAGCCAGACCTTTTGGCACATTGATGTATTGTCCACTGCAACTCTGAAATTCCTTATATATTCATTTGTTTATGGTGTGTGTGTGTGTGTGTTTTGCACCAACAAGAGTTTAACTAGCTAATAAATGTGTGTACAGGTAATGCCCAATTTACAACCACAGTTGGGACTGGAATTTTGGTCATAAGTCGCTGCGATCATAAGTTGAGGCACCACCTGACTGGACTCAATTTTATAACTGTTTTTATTATCGAGCCACCATATTTAAATGCAGTCCATATATTTGACTAGTATAGTATATATTGCAGTGATGGTGATAATGCTATCCATTCAGTCATGTCTGACTTCAGGAAATTTTATGGGCCAGGTTCTCCACATCTTCCAATCTTGCACTGCTTCTTTGAGTTGTTCGGTGATCTAGCTGATGTTGGCTTTGAAAGTATATTTCAGTGATGAGAAGGCAGTTCTAAGATATTATGTCATTCTTTTCTGTCTAGCAGAGCCCCTTCTGCCCATACAAAAGTCAGAAAAACTGTATGATGAGCATTAAAATAAGCTTACAAAAGCTTTTCAAACAAATGGAAAGCAATGCTATCCCAAAAATCAAAGAGCAAGCTAGAAAATTCTTCCCCCCGTATTTACCTCAACTTTAGCTTCTATCACCTCTATTTTAGGAAACAACAATAGCACTTAGACTTACGGTATATACCGCTTCATAGTGCTTTCCAGCCATCTCTAAGCGGTTTATAGAAGAGTCAGCGTATTATCCCCAACAATCTCTGTCCTCATTTTACTGACCTCGGAAGGATGGAAGGCTCAGTCAACCTTGAGCCAGTCAGAATCAAACTCCTGGAGTGAGCAGTGAGCTAGCCTGCAGTAACGCATTCTAACTACTGTGCCACCACGGCTCTTTAATACATGCTTATATGGAAGTAACAGTAATGTTACTTATATGACAATAGGTCTCAAATCAGCTTACAGTAAAAATTAACCTACATCAAAGAACTAAAGCTATTTTTAAAAAAAAAATAGAAGTTTTTTTATTTGGGTTAATTTTATGGTAAGCTGGTCCAAGACCTGATTTTTATATAAGTAATGTTCATAAGTAAGAAATAACAAAACTTTAGAATAAGTATGTCTTTAATTATTATTATTTTTTAAAAAATTAAAACACATGAGTAAATAACTTATTTAATTTGTCAGAACCCAATTTACTGAGCGGCACAGCTCATAGCGTGAACAAGCGTGGTGTAAAGAGGCGAGATCTTGATATTGAGGAATTAAAGGAAATCCTTTCCCCTCTCTTACCGTTCGTCCGCATTGAGCACATTCTGCCTATGAACAGTGAAGTGCTGACAGATTCGGTAAGTATATTTTAAAGCTTCCTTTGAATCCTGTTTCAGCTTTTCATGCTAGTGTCCATGAGAAAAGTGCAGAAAAAAAATGGGCCAGGAAGAGTCCGATCAGATCCAGGGGTTTGTTTCTTTGGTGATATCCAACAGATCACCCAAATCACCATCAAAGAACAGATCTCTCACCCCTGATTTAGGTCACTCTATAAAATGTATTGTGGTTTTGAAAGCTTTGGGAGTACTTGCTCTGATTCTTTAATCAGTTTTTTTTTTTTTTTATTAATTTGGTATAGGTTCAGTTCAGTTATTCTTTACTGGTGACTCTCATCAGCTTGTGCGTGGTTTGCTGTTTTATACTTAAAAATCATTGTTACCTTTCTGATGTGATGTTTTCTTTTAAAGATGAAGAGAGGTCTCATTAGTACACCTCCTTCGGACATGCTGCCAACTGCAGAAGGTGGAAAGTCAAATGTGTGGCTGCGACAAAAAAATGCCGGAATTTATGTGAGGCCGAGGCTGTTCTCACCATATGTGGAGGAGGCTAAGGTAAAATGATGTATTAATGCTGCCATCCATCTCATAAATAGCTTGCAGATGTAGCTCATCTAACCAAGGGCATTCCATATCCAGAATGATATTTTAAAAGTATGATGAGTTCGAAGTGCTCAAGATGATTTTGAAACCTGTAACAGACCTCTGCAGGCAGACATCAATATTTTTGAATGCTAAATGTTGCTTTTTCCAGGTTCTCATCCTGGATTCACTAAGGATTCTTTACAGTATATGACTGTCTGATAAATTATTAGAGGATAGGCAGGCTTCCATTTCCTTAGTGCTGGTATCTCCAAAAGAACAGGATTTCAGATCTTTTCTTCCATTCAATTACTCTACCTGCCGAACACATTTGAAAGATGGATTTAATCTCTTCTCATCTCTCTGAGTTTTCTCTGAGCATGCGCCTTCCCATTCACCCCGTACATATGTACGCATTTGCAGAGACCTTTTGGCTTGTCTAGACAGAGGAAGGCATCATCTTCCTAAACAGAACTGAGCCAGCGTCCTTCTGTGTCTGGAGGAAGGGGCTACGTGCTTTCCTTTACAAGGAAGGAAAGGATGACAGAAGAAAGCAGGGAGCAACTGCACACTTTCCCCCTCTCTCTGAATGCCTTCCTCTATGGGCCGCTTTTAAGAACAAAGCCTTCCCACCCCCCAGAGGCGTGAGGAGAAAAAAAATCCAGATCTTCAATGCAATTCAGTTTCCCAGAATGTCACACGGTGTGAAATTTGATCCTGTTTTCTGTTTGTGTGGTACTTATACAAGACATTTTGCACTATAATGCAAATTTTGTGTGAGGATATTTTTTTTTGCACCCTTTTTACAGTGAAATCCTTTGGTATATTTTGGTTATCAGCAATATTTCAGGTAATATGCATGTGGCATATTGTGTTTGTAAGATTGACACATTAAGACCCACATTAGCAAAGTGGCTTCTTTGAATATTAGTGAGCCCATTAAAAGTCATCTGAATGATTTACATGAAAAAAAGGATTAGTGAGTCATAAGAGTAGAAGCTGTCCATATTTAATATACAGAATGTATAAAATTATATGTAAAGGAAATAAAATTATGTTTCCTGAAAAAGTAACATTCTGTTATCTGTTCTTATCTACCATTATATGGGTTTTTTTTTTAAAAAAAGAAGGCTATATCTAGTACAGATAGTCCTCAACTTACAACAGTTCATTTAGTGACAAAGTTCAAAGTTACAACAGCACTGAAAAAAGTGACTTACGACCATTTTTCACACTTCTGACTGTCACAGCATCCCCATGGTCACCTAATTAAAATTCAGACGCTTGGCAACTGACTCATATTTATGACGATTGCAGTGTCCCGGGGTTCTGTGATCCGCTTTTGTGACCTTCTGGCAAGCAAAGTCAGTGAGGAACCCAGATTAACTTAACAGCTGGATTACTACCTTATCAACTGTGGTGGTTCATTCAACAACTGCAGCAAGAAATGGGCCAAAAAAGGTCATAAAATGGGCCAACATTTACTTAGCAACAGAAATTCTGGGCTCAGTTGTCATTAGTTGAGGACTAGCTGTATTTATTACCTTTTTATTTCAGTACATTAGAGCAAAACATTTCTTTTTCCTTTGTTGTTTCAGTCACTTCTGGATGAGATGATGGTGGAGCAGACGGATCTTGTTCGTTTACGGATGGTTAGAATGTCCAATGTACCAGACACCCTCTACATGGTAAACAATGCTGTTCCACAGTGCTGTCATATGATAAATCACCAGCAAATGACCAGTAATCAGTCCAGTCCTCCTTCAGTTGTAGCTAATGAAATTCCAGGTATGTTTTTAAGCCAATTCATAAATACATTGTTATTGGTTATGAAATTCTTTAACATTGAAATACCAGAGTTTCATGAAAAAATAAAATCAGGAGGATGAGTGTATGATAATTAATTTAGGGTCATAATGCCCTGATAATTTTTAACAGGGCATTTCTAGATCTCTTCACTGTAAAGCAGAAAAAAAAATGTGGGAATGTTGTCCTTTGCAAGCTGGGTCCATTGTGAATATGTTAGTAGAAAAAAACATTTTCCCCCTTTTCCCATTTCTGCAAGTTTAGATAGAAATAAAATGTATTAGTTCATCCATGATGAGCGCTTGCAATAAGACATATATTCATATTAGTTTGGTATTTTGGATTAATGTGAGACTCACTTTAAAAATACATACATTTCTGCCTAATCAAGAAAGAATGTGGTGGATTTATGTTTGACACAATATATTCTTATTAAGAAGTATATAAAACAAGATGAAGGCATGGTCGCTTCAAGTTTGGAGTACAGCACGTGTGTCAGAACAGGCATAAATAGTGGACAGTGTTCAAAGGTTCTTGTGATGCCAGAAATTCTTATGGGCATTCTTCATTTCAAGTTTATGTATAAGAAGAAGACTTTTTGTAAAGCTGCCCTCCAAATGCAGACCTTCATTGAAGCTAATCCAAGAACTAAGCTTAAATGAACTGCCAAAAGTGAGTCTGGTGCCAAGTCTGGGGCCACGGCTCAAGAATTAGGTTTGTTGTCAGCTGCCAATATTGTGTTGGAAGTATAGGTATCTGGTCCTGTTCCTTGCTTTGCTACTCACAGCAATCCATCAGTGGTAAGAGAGAGGAAAATGGGATGCCCAGATTTGGCTAGAAAACTTGCTTTTTATTACCTGTGTCCAGTGGTGGTATTCAAATAAAGTTGCCACCGGTTCGGTGGGTGTGGCTTGGTGGGCGTGCTTTGAGTGCGTGCACACACTTTGCGTGCATGCATGTGCCAAATGCACACTTTGCGCAGGCACAGAGGCATTTGCGCAGGCGCAGAGGTGTTCTAAGTTGCTTCTGCACGATGCCGTTCTCTGCAGCAGCTGCCGCACGGCGCTATTCTGCGCTGCGCAAAACAGCTGCGCTTCAAATTCTGGCCATAAAAGTGAGTATGGGAGCCAGGGTGGGTGGGTGGGCCAAACACAGAGCAGTGGAGAGAACCGGTTCTGTCTCCATTGCTCATTGCTGCTACCAGCTCTCCAGAACCGGGCAGAACCAGTCGAATACCACCACTGCCTGTGTCCCTCCTCACGTAGAAAAGTCCTTGGGAGTTGTGCACAACATGATAAAAGCTGAGCTGCATAGCTGCTACAGTTATTTTCAGGTTATGCAGCAGAAAATTGTTGTTGAACACAAGGGGGCAACCCTTGAAATTAATTCCAGTCACTGGATAGCTTAGATTTAGGGGAGAAAAAGGCCACAGTGGACAACATTGATTCATGAAGATGAATGAAGCTGGAATATTTCAGGAGGGTTTTTTTCCCCCTTTGGTTGGATCCTTTAAAAAAAAAAACCTTTAGAAAGCTTGTTTATCTTACATGACAGTTTTCATTTATTTCCCAATTCAAAATGACCAAAAAATACGCAGTCAAAGAGGGAACTTCTGGAAATTAAATAAGAGACAGATTTGGAAGCTGCAACAAAACCCTGTTAAAAATTACCTTACAAGGTATTTAAGGGACAAAATTGAATGATGCTATTGATGATCTCATTTTCAGCTGGAAACTGTTTTTTCTGTTCATTACTTAAAAATAGAAAATTTTATTTACACTCAATGACCAGCCAAGTATTTAGTAACAGTCATATGTAGTTTTTATACTTGAGGCTTTGATTTTCATAATGTGGGATTTTTAAAGGCTGGAAATTGCCTACTTCATATAGTACTAATTCATTTGGAATGGGATTCTAATAGCATATAAAACAGATGCTTCAGAATGCACAACATCTTGTGCTTAGAAATTTGTCAAAATAATATGAACTGGACCCCTCTGTCTGAGATAATTCTTTGTGGTACTCCATGCAGGTGGTAGATGGGCTTTAGGAACAGCTTGGCTAACTAGTGGGTTGAGGATAGTCCGCTGCAGGGTATGAAGTGCTCCTGTTGGAGAATAAGTCTATTACAGTCCAGATCACTGTGTTCCCCCCACTTTTTGGCAAATCCACTATAAAGCCCATTGCTATTTCCTCCCATGGTCTTGTTGGCTCTGCTACTGGTTGCAGCTGTCCAGGGGGGTTTCCTGGTTGTTTTTTTCATTGTGGTGCAAATGGTGCAACTTTTCAGATAACTGCCCACGTGTTTCTTTATGCTGGGCCACAAGAATTGCCTCCAGGCTAAGTGTAAAGTCTTTAAGAACCCGAAGTGGCCTGCTGGTTTGGCGTTGTGGCTCCTCTGGAGGGTTAGGGTGCGTAGGGATACTGGGACACTGTTCTGACCCAAGCCCTTTTCCAACAAATCAAACACAATCCAAAAGGAACAGAAACCTTGTAATGCTTTTGCAAAATAATTAGCTGTGATAAGCACAAGCCTTGCCAAACTGTGTGAGACTTGCCAAAAGATAACAGACAAGAAATAATTTGCAATACAAGAATCTTCAAATACAAACTCAGGATACTGGAATGTCCACGAGGCTGGAGTTTCAAAATGTCTTTGCTTCCTGCAAAGAACGTTCGCTTCACAGCTGGCTTTTATCTTCTTAAAGGAGGGGGCATTACCTTGCAGCCTTACTCCCAGTTGCCTGTGCTGTTGTAGCTGCTCTTTCCTATGAGCAATCCTGCGTGCACGCGCACTTGGCACAGGCTCCTCAGGAACCTCCTCATCACTGCTACCAGCCCCCACAATCTCTGAAGGCAGCAGTCCAATCCCTAATGGTCCTGGCCCCTCATCCGAGTCCTCACTTTCCTCAGCCGTCTGCACCTGCTGCCGGCTAACCACAACAGGCGTAGAGTTTCATCCCCTTCCATGCTAGGTCATCTCTTTTTGTCAAGATGTGTTAAATATATTGAAAACTACTCAGAAGTATGGAATTTTGTTGTCTGATGTGTATTTTTCCTGAGCAATACAGCGCTCTTGGATTGTGTCATTTCCTATTCTGCATTCTGTTTTTCAACATGAAAAGGTTGAAATAAATTTTCCAGAAATATAGATAGCTTTTTTTTTTACCTTTCCAGGAAAACCTTACCTTCCATTTTCTAGGGAAATGGTTGAAAAGATCCTGAAAGTCTAAATGAATGCTATAGGCAGTAAACAAATTTGTATGTTTTCAGCAAGCCTTTGAAAGTGGTACATTAAAGCAAAAATGTTTCACAGTTGAAGCTGCTGTTAGCCATGGCAATTTCTGCAAGAGAGAATATACTTCTGGAAGGAGCAAAACTGGAACAAAACAGAGAAACAGAGGCCATATTTAATGGTCTAATTTAATGGAAAGAAGGACTAGGAATAACAGGATAGCATGTTCTAGTATCTGAGGGGTTGCCACAAAGAGGAGGGAGGTCAAGCTATTCTCCAAAGCACTTGAGGGCAGAACAAGAAGCAATGGATGGAAACTAATCAGGGAAAGAACCAACCTAGAACTAAGGATAAATTTTCTGACAGTTAGAACAATTAATCAGTGGATTACTTTCCTCCAGACGTTGTGCGTGCACCAACACCAGAAGTTTTTAAGAAGAGATTGGACAACTATTTGTCTGAAATGGTGTAGGGTTTCCTGCCTGAGCAAGGGGTTGGACTAGAAGACCTCCAAGGTCCCTTCCAACTCTGTTACTCGGTTATTCATATTGGCTAAACTTATGGAAAGAGGTAGAATATGCTCAGAATGAAGAGATTGATTGGAATATATTAGTGGAGAAATACTGTAAAAAGGAATTAGATTTTCTTTGTTGTGCTGGCAGCTAGATTGCCTAACATTAGATAGGACTCCCACATGTGCTGCAGAGTGACTCCCAACCCAGAGAACAAATTTGGAAATACTTGGGAGGATGGGAAGTGTTGATGGTCCATTTTGCATAAAGAACATCCAGGAAAGATAGCAGAATAACAGAGGTGGAAGGGGCCTTGGAGGTTTTCTGGTTCCCCACCACCCCACCCCATGAATTGTCGTTTTATCTTCTTAAACACCTCTTCTTAAAAACTTCCAGTGTTGGAGCATTCATAGCTTCTGGAGGCAAGTAGTTCCACTAAATAATTGTTCTAACTATCAGGAAATTTCTCCTTAGTTCTAAGTTGCTTCTCTCCTTGATTAGTTTCCACCCATTGCTTCTTGTCCTGCCTTCAGGTGCTTATACTGAATTCAGGTGGGAAAACTGATCTAAATGGTAAAGTTTTCAGTGGGTTCACAATAAGAATGGAAACGAAGGAAATGTATCTGTTCTGTCCTCTGTCCCACTTTGTAGCTCGAGTCATTATTGCATTGATCTCGCTGACCCCTGTCTTTCCGATCATTTGCTTTTGGATAAGTTCTGTCTTAAGTGTAAATATCTACCTTACTAAACTTGGGCTCTGTTGAAGCTCATTACCAAGGATGCAGGACTCATTTCAATTCGGATTGTTTTCTGGTTGTTCTTTCTCAGTTCCTCGTCTCTCTGTGGTTAAAGAAATGGTCAGACGGCTGCAGGAGCTCCGCCATACCGAGCAAGTCCAGCGAGCTTATGCTCTGAATTGTGGAGAAGGAGCCACAGTCAGTTATGAGATTCAGATCCGTGTATTGAGGGAGTTTGGACTTTCTGATACTGCTGCTGAGTTGCTGCAGGTATGAAGCGATGTAGGCAGCATGCAAGCCGGCTGGTCTGGTTCTCTTGTTTTTAAACTGTTTTAGAACCTGTGTGCATTCAAAGTCAGAAGTAACTACCTTGTGCAAAAGTGTTGAAGAAGTGATAAGTACATTCATTCATGGAGGAAAACTTACAGGGAACGTTGCAGTTACATATTGTAATGTAAAAAAAAAAAAGAATAGGTCAAATTAATTTGTTTCTAACTGATCAATAAGAAAGTATTCCCATTGCTCCTTTATGCTGCTCTATTCTAAATATGAGTTATCTCTTCCATGCATAACGATGAGAATGCTTAATAAAAATTACAACCATCTAAAGCTTTTGATTCAGATATGCTGATAAAAAGATGTTAAGGACCCTAGACCAGGGTTCGCCAACCTTTTGGACATCAGGGACCACCAAACTCATAATTTTAAATCCCGCAGACCACTAATATGAATTTTGACTGACGGTGGCTTGCTGACGTTGGTGGGAAAGTCGTCCCATATTCCAGAGCTGCAGTAGTCACAGGACTGGCCCTTTGGTCATCCCAGAGCAGCTGCTCCTGCACCCGGGTGCACCGGCCTGCCATGGATTGGAGGAGCTACTCCAGGATGACTGAAGGGCCAGTTTTGTGACTACTGCAGCTCTGGAATATGGGACCAACTTTCCCACCAACATCAGCAAGACACCCCGGAGCGGATTTCCCTCTCCCGCCGTTGGTCGGTCTTTCCAGTTCCAGCTCGCATGGCTCTACTCAAGATAAGGTTTGCGCTCGGCCGAAGGATGGAGGCCAGTGGGTGGGCGGGCCATGTGGCCGGTGCAGCCTTGTGTTCCTGCGCAGCCTGGATTAATTGCTTTGGGGGGGAGTGCTTGGTGGGGGGCATTTCTCTGCGGACCACCAAAATTTTCTCACGGACCATCAGTGGTCCCTGACCCACTGGTTGGCGACCTCTGCCCTAGACTACAGCCTGTACAGAGCCCCACCCTATGGTGATCTACAGTATGAGAATTTATGTAGTTTTATGCTTAAGATGGAACAGGAAGAGTTGCTGTATTTTGTCCACTTGTGCTCTGTAATTAGATACATATATAGATCCCATTGCGTTGGCATGTTGTGTTTGTTTTGCCCAGGCAAAGCCATTGTAATGCAAACCTACCATGTTTCCATATTGTTGGCATGGAGGGAAAAGTACAACCAAACATTCATCTCTATTAGTCGAAGTGTTGTATTTCTTATCCCAAAGGTGCTTTTTTCAAGAGGCAACTGGAGTTTCTGGTTTTCCTTGGAAGACATTTCGCTTCTCATCCAAGAAGCTTCTTCAGAAAAAAAAAACACCTTTAGGACAACCATGACCTGGATGACTGAGAATCTCCATAGACAAGTTGCATTTCTTGTTCTGTCTTTCTGCTGCAGAATCCTCACAAGTTCTTCCCTGACGAGCACTTTGGAGATGAAAGCCCACTTCTGACCCTGAGACAGCCAGGCCGATGTCGTGTGAACAGCACGCCCACTGCAGAAACACTGTTTACAGAGCTAGACTCTTTTGTGGCCTTCCACCCACCACTCCCTCCTCCTCCCCCTCCTTACCATCCACCAGCGACTCCAATTCACAGTCAGTTCAAAGTTGGATGGAAGCAGAGAGCCCAAAGCCAGCATCCCTCCCGTTCCTTTTCTTATCCTTGTAACCATTCGCTCTTCCATGCCAGAACAGCCCCCAAAGCTGCCCTACCCAATTATTTCTCTAGTGTGAAAGGCACACCTCCAGATTGCACTAACACCGCAGGACTGGGAAGACAGACAGTTGCAGCTGCAGCAGCTGTGGTGGCTGCTGAAAAGCAAGTGGTAAGAATGCCTTTTTATTTCATGCATACAATACCTGTTTTAAAATTTAAGGGGTTTTAGTAAGTTGCATATTTTTTAAATCTGGTTGTAAGTTTCCCAGAGTCATAAGGGGAGGCAGGGAATGTTGCGGGTCCCATTCCCTAGGGAGATACACCTGATGGGACCCAGAAGAAGAGCCTTCTCTGTGGTAGCCCCCTCTCTCGGGCACCACACCCCCCCCCCCCCCCCCCCCCCCATTCTAGCACTCTTCCGGAAGGTGCTGAAGACCTGGTTCTGCCAGTGGGCCTGGGGAACCCTAAGTGGGATGGAGCTCATTAAATGGCTTGTGTTAGGTGCTGTCTCCAGGGTGGGGTGTGTGTGATTTTATTATATTAATTCATTGTATGTCTTCTTTTATTAGTTTTATTGTTTTTATATGAGGTTTTATATTCTGTAAGTCGCCTTGAGTTGCCATGTATGAATAGGCAGTAATATAAATTCAGGAAGGAAGGAAGGAAGGAACAAAAGAAGGAAAGAAAGAAGGAAAGAAAGGGATGGCTATATAAAGTGGATAAATAAATATATCAGTATTAATTTACTACTGCAGGGTGCTGTGAATAATAAGAGTTGGCATTTTAAGTTTACCATTATAGCTGTTGGAAGTGGAGCAGGCTTCATTTTGGAAACATAGATTGTGATCAAGCACCATGGCATTGAATTATTCTACAAGAGATCATACAAGATGTTGTATAATTTCCCTATGGTCTAAGTGGATAACAAATAACTCTAACAAGCACTCCAGATAGATAGATTTATGTGACAAAGCAGATTGGTTTAATCAATTGACTCAAGCTCTTGCCAGTGAAGATGCCAAGATTGCTAAGTAGCATTAATGTACAAAAATAAAGCAAATATTTGCACGGTATGTCGAAAAGGCAACCCGGTGAAGGTTTAAATGAAGCAGGAGGAGAAGCTAACACAATGGGTAGAAAATCCAAGTTCTTGCTCACCAATGCATTTTCCGCCAAGGGATATCAAAGGAAAATATCAAGAGGTAAAAAATGGCAAACCAGAATAAATGAACATAGTTGCTGGGGATTTTTACTCAGTTATTAAATCCTTTCCTATAGATTGCATCCAAATTTTCTGTGAAGAGTTTTCTCTTGCACTTTTGCTTTTAAGTTTATGCATAAAATACTAATTTTGGTTCTTCTATGTTTTATCAAGGTAGTAGGCTTGAAGAAAATGTATGCTTTATTTTTTAAAAACAAAACAAAACCTATTACCCATTTTCAACCAACAGCTGATGAAAGAACTTTATAAGGTAGCCATTCAATGTATAAATATTTGTGTATTTTATTTGTCACATATTTATACTGCCCATTTCAATTAAGTGACTCTGGGTAGCTTACAATAAAAACATGTCACAAAATATAAAAACATAAATAAGAACAGTTAAAAACAGAATTAAAAGTTCGGTTTATAGTATTGAAAGTTAAAAAGGTAATACTATATGTTATATGGTATAATATAATATATATAATGCATAATAATATAATACCTACAAACACACATCCACATATGTGTATGTTAAAAAGTTAATATATATTAAATATATTTTAATTTTATAATGCTATAAATATATAAAATGGTATGGTTCTTGTTAAAAGAGCATAGTCTGTAAACAATAAAAGCCTTCCAACCAATATGGTACCTATTTATCTACTAATAATTGTAACAATTAGGTTACAAATGATTGTTAATGATAATTAAAATACACTAGCATAATGTCATTATTTGAACATGAATAATAATAGAATCACAAGTGAAAGTGAAATGTTAGGAAAAAATCTGATTTCATTTTTTAGAAAGCCTGTTTAGAACACCTATTCCAATTGCTGTGATAAAATTGTTGCTGACCAGTGTTACCTGTATCATCAACAAGTCATAATTAAAGCATTCTATGTACAGTTATTGCTTCTTGGAATCTGCCTATTGAATTAATGAATTCAGTAGGAGCTTCCTATTAATAAGCAATTCAAAATATATCTCTACAGGAAACACCCAAAATTGACAGGCCTGCACATAGGACTATGTTTTCCTGGAAACACTGCAACTTTTTGTAACATAAGTTGTTGTTGTTTTTAATTACATTGCCAAATTGCAGATATAGTAAATGAAAAGTTCTGTTTTTGGTAAGATTTTGGGCTATCTCACTATTCTACATTAATAGGACTATGCTTTCAGAAATGTTTTAATTTTTAACTAGTTTGCTTAGAAAGCCTCAACTCTTTGTGCTCACATCAGAGCCTTTAATTTCAGAAGCTACCTTCTAAATATAAAATACTACGTAGTTTATGAATAATTATTTCTTATTAGCTTTGAAACAGCACTTAAGTTTTTCCTTTACTGAACAAACACAATATGATGTATAAAATGGCAAGCTGAATGTCAGATCCTTAGCTGTTTAATGTTGGACTTTTGTAGGGCAAAGTCATCCTGGGACAGCTAGATTGCAAGCACAATTTGTAATAGGTTTTCTCTTTTGCAGGGTATTCAACCTGTTCTCAATGAGCTGATGCCGGATATTGCAATGGGTGTGTCAACTATATCTCTGAAGGACAGGAGGCTGCCAGAGCTTACAGTGGACACAGAGCCTGTTCCGGAAGTTACACCAGGACCACCTCAGCACATTTCATGCATTCAGACAAGGCACATACATAGTTCACGGAAGAAACATTCAGCGGAGCAAAAACTGGATCCTAGAGAGAACCAGCAGGAATATCCTGATTTCTATGATTTCTCAAATGCTGCATGCAGGCCTTCTACTCCTTCCCTTACCAGGCACACCCCTTCCCCTTCCCAAGGTAACTATTTGGGGCCAGATTTATATAGCCACAATAAAGCATCGCCCAGCGGCTTAAAAACCACTCAGTTACCTAATCACATCTCTCCTAAAAAACTAGAAGATTCTAGGAGAGACTATGCACTTTCTCAAGAAGGGCATTCACACAGACAAAAGAATGAAACGATACACCTCAATGTCTTAGAACAACCTCCCCAGAGGTTGAACTTGGCTTTGGCTGCCCAGGAGAACCCTGGGAATATATCAATTCATGCAAGGGGACGAACAAAAATGGAAACGGATTTAACATATGGCCTAACCTCTAGTCGACCTTCCCTGCCTTCCTACAGGGAAGAAATCCATGATGAACTATCTAGCAGGAGATTGGCTGACACTGAGCCTCTGGAGAGTGAAGTCCAGAGAAATGTAGATTTGGAAAGAGAAGAGGTTGTAAGTAGAGGAAGAAAGTCTCCTGACTTTCTATACAAAAAATCTGCCCTCTGAAAACCCTCCACCTCCACTTCTTCTCTGTGCCTAAGACTTGTGAAAGATCAGTCTTTGAAATCCCTGGCCGGAAATTTTCTCAGGCCAGTTTTTTTCCAACGCCAGCCGCTATATTATTTTTTAATTATTATTTTTGTATATACATGGCTTCATTAAGAAGTGGTATGCTCCCTGTTTATTTGGAATGCTGCTTCAGGGTTTATGTTTTCAACAGATTTTGCTAAGATTCTCAACAATATATTTTAACTGGCACCTTTAAAAAAAAGGAAAATAAAAGGTAGCCTTTTGCACCTGTACATTAATTTTATTAATTTTTATATTGGTATGTTAAACTTCTACTGTCATATTTTATAGGACTGTATGTTCATACTATTTTGAGTGTCTTTGGTTGTTTTTTTTTTTTTAAGAAATCATTTCCTGGTATTCAGTGTGCATTAGGCTGCATACTCGCATACTTAAGATGTATTTTCTTACAAGATGGTGAAAATATCTGTCTTTATTTTTTAATGACAATAGGAATTCCAAAGAACAGCACACTTACAAAACTGCTCTGGTTAGGTTTGCAGCCTTTCTGCTTTACCACTAATACAAGAATCCAGTCTAATGTGTATGCTTTGTTTACCAAGTCTTAGGCTGCTGATGTAGCAAGTGCTCAGTAATGTCTGTGGCCAGGATTTTCTTTGAAAGTGAGGACTACACGTCTCTTATGATTTCTGAAAATATTCTTTTCCTTTTGGAACATGAAAACTGAAGAAACACTCTCCAAGCCCTTTGGTTACAGTGCGACTAGTGCTTCAAATTTGTGAGAGTTCTGTAGATGTGCTTTTCTGATTCTTCATTTTAGAAAGACACATAGATGGTAAGCACAAGAAGGCAAGAAAATAATTGTTTAGCATTTGACATGAGTGTTAATGCTACATTTTGGTAGAACAGCCCTCTGTGGGGAAGTCAAGAGGAATGCTTACTGCCTTTTTTTCTGCCTCTGAAGAAATCAAGGGCTGCAGTTTTGGTAATGTTATATATACTTTGTTTTATGGACAGAAAGCATACTGAAGATGGCTATAACTTAAGGAGCTATAAACAGTTTAGCACTTAATTTCTTCATTCCTCTCTTGAATAGTTTGGAGTTTGTTGAAGCTGGTTAAACCATATTAGAAGGGAGGTTCATTTGGGTTTTATGAGATGCTGGGCGGATAGATTATTGCCACTAAGAATGGCCATTTCAGCAGTAAGTTGTTTCAGGTACCTGCCACGTATTTCTCTTGCATGGACTGGAAAAATTTCAGTACCACTGTGGTAATACCTAGCAAAGGCTTGACTTGATATGGTGGTTAATTCTAAAATACAGCTCTTCCATCACTTGAACCTTAGCAACATTGAACCTTTTTTAAACATTGTTAGCTAACCTTAAATCTATTTTTAAATACTGTACTTGAGACTGTTGAAATGTACATTTTGTTTAAGTGTTTTTAATTATTTTCTGAGCTCTTTTTTTAAAGTCCCCACTAATCTTTTAGTTCCCAGACCTGACCCTTTAAGGGGAAACACTGTTAAAAAGGAATGAGAATGAACACCTTGTCCAGATAGTTTACACTACATTAATTTCAAGCATTGTGTTACATCTTTGTGAACTGAAAAAATATATTCTGTGAAAAGTTGATTCGGTAATAAGACAGCACTCTGAGGATAAGATAATCACTTGTCACTTGTCAAGCATCTTGTTAATGATCTGGAATTTAAACATGTTTTCTGTCAAACTTGTTTCTCTCTCTCTCTCTCTCTCTCTCTCACACACACACACACACACACACACCAAATCTGCTATGATTTCTGAAAAATTTTCCTTTTTCAAACATGAAACTCAAATCTTTCTATGTATATTGGCTTTGTTTTGTAGAGATCACGGATAGGACTCTTCTGATAGTTTCCTGGATTACACTCCCAAAACAAACTACAGAAAAATCTAGTTTAGATGTTAATATTCTATTTCAAGTAGGTTTTTTCCAACTCTACCCAAAGCTAATTTACTAGTGAAATGTGATAGGATGTATGGATGAGAAATTCAAGGCACAAATTTTCAGTCTCAATAGTAGCTATTGAATTAATTCAAATAATTCATTTTACTTTTTTTACTGTGGAATAACTTATGAGAAGTATAAAAATGTACACTCCATAAATGAAATAAGCTATCATTTGTCAGCAGAGTTTTAGATGAAGGTAATTCTGTAGCAGACCTAAGGACTGTTGTACCACTTTAACAACTTCAGCCTAAATATTCCCATTTGAGCTAAAGAATTTAGAGAGGCTGCAGAATTCTGGCTTATTGCCTTTTCCTATGGGCCATATATAAATGGAACATTAATCCCCATCAACATTTGGGCTTTGTTAATTACTAGTGAAATTATCTGTGGACCTTTAGGTACTTCTACTGACTTTGCATAAGGAATTTCATTGTACCTACCCGCCCCTTTTTAAGTCATCTTGATTTTATCCTGTTTGCAAAAGACAAAAAGTATTTTTAAAATATCTGTGACCCAGAGAAACGCAAATATTTTTTTCCTAATTTTGCCTAACAAGAAATTAATAAAAGAATTTGTGTCATAATTGAGATTGCTTTTACATTCTGGTGAACAGATAATTTACTATGAGATGTATTTAAAGCTTTTATCTTCAAAATGCAGGATGCACAATCAATTTCAGCTCTTCAACATGATTGTAATAAATTATGTACCATTTTTCAAAGTTTTAAACAATTAAAAAATCTTAAGTATTGGAATAAATCCACCCAGGTGTTTGGATTTGAGATGGGTGGCAAATAAATTTAATAAATTTGTTAAGTCCCAAGCATTCTTTAATTCTGTAATAACATGGCAGAGATAGTTGCTGAACTAACAGCTTCAGATTATTGCTAATCTTTTTGTAACAGAAACAAATCTGATTTGACTGCATCCTACAAAGGAAAAGTAGGTTTTAAACTGTAGCTGGGATCCATTTCCATGCATGTACACTCTTTTGAGAATTTTTAAATCTTTCATAGGCACAAGGGATGGATGCTGCTTCACTAGTGATCAGCTGCATTTTTCAGAAGACAAAGGGCTGCTTCTAGAGGGAAGTGCCACACAAGGCATTTTGACATTCACCCAATGTGTTTACAAATATATATATTTTTTGCAGTATTAACAAAGCTACTTCTTGTAGTCCTGCAAGCTTAAAGCAAAATTGCCCGGCTCGCCATTTAGTATATCTTGTATTTGAACTTGTTTTCAGTCTTTTTCTACCTGTTAAAGGAATGGAAAAGGGCTAATATCTTCAATAGCTTTGTTTTTACCTTGAAATATTATAAACCATTTCCATCTGTTATGTATTATTTTGAAAAGGTCCGAAGATACCACTCTTACTCTAGTTACTTCCAATGACTTGTTTGTTTTTATGGTGGATGGATATTTGTGGAATGTTGGGGAAAGCTGAAGGATTAAAAACCGATCTGTTTCTATACTTGTATGTATTTCTGAAAGATGTTAAGTGTCCATGATAAAATTCTTGTGCTGTTACTGGTATAAAAAGTGCCTTCAATGCTAAAGGCTCAGAAATTTTCTTAAACCAACTTCATGTCCTATGCAAGTGTTTTTTCTACAACCTGCATAACCAGTACTTTGTAAAATTTGTTTACGCTTCAATTGTACATATTATTTTTAAGAAAAATAGAATTTTTATTTAGGTACCGCCTAGAATTGAATTCTAGTCTTGTGTGATGCATTGTAAAAGAATACATTTCTCTTTTGAGTACCATTATAATTGTAAAAAGGTTTTCACTGGTTCTATTTTTCTACTGTTGCTGAGAAGCATGTTAACACTGACTTTATCCTACATATAGTTGGTATTTCAAATAAATGGCTTGTCTAGAAAAACACAAGTGTAACATACTTTTCATTACAAATGTTCTGCTTTTGTGAAACTTTTTGAAACTTTTTGAGAGTATGAGATTTTAATTTGAATGGGCCAAACACACTGCAATATTCATGACCTGCATGCTTTAAAAGTACCAATAAAACTCTACATTACAGTAGCAATATCTTTATTTGAAACAATTCAAGTGCCATATAATGAACATTAAAAGTAGAAGGAAAAGAAAAAGCAGACCATGATGAAGATCCCAGCATATGTTCTCAAATAATTGGAAAGGTTATGGAGGTAGGTGTACTACAGAATATAGGTAAGGAGACAATCTTAAGGTTTTCAATATATTCGTAAAACTCTCATCTCAAATTTTAGGATTCTTTTATGCCCACTTTTCATCTTTTGCACTAGTCATTTAACTTTCAGGTTAATTGAGTTCTGAAGAAAGCTTATTTTTTGTTGGTTTTAATTCTATACTTACAGATTTGTTTTCTAGACTGAGACCATTTCACCTATAAGCAAGATATTAAAAGGTGTTTTCTTTTTGTCTCATCCGCATTGGAAGTGTTGACTATATTACTTGCTGCTTGACAGGACGCTTAACCATACCACATTCCAGCTATTAATGGCTTACTCTGCCTTTCAGTGACTTTCTGATATTGAAACTAAATGAATTGCCTTAAGACCTCATGGTCTATCAAAGCTGTCTGAACTAAATGTATTCTGTATCCTGTTCCAAAGTGTTTGTTATGGAGCTCACTTGATTTCTGGCCAGTCATTAAGTCAAACCACTAATAGGAATGGTAATGTAAATATGGCTGTATGAAATGTTTCAAGTAATCCATATCCAAACTGAAGCATACTTTGGCCCATACATGAAATAAAACGGATGGTTTTTTTTCTGGGACAAAGTCGTACAGGGTAGGGAAAAAGAGCTAAGGATATTGGCAGCAGTAATTGAAGGAAGGGAAAGCACTGGGAAGATTTGGAGAAGTAAGTGGTTGGGTGGGATGTGCCATGCTGGATCCACTGGAGAAAGTGATGCACACCAGCCATATCTTACTTGCCTTGTAGAATCACTCTGTATATGTAGATTGTTTTAGCGCAAATTCATACGTTACTCAGTCTTTTGTCCCTGGTGAACTGCAGCTGATCTCAATGGCTTAGCAGAACTTCTGGAATGTGATGGTTTGTTCCTGGTTTGGAAGAAAGCATTTTCCTTCCCATGAATGATCCTATTATGTCACCACTGGTTATACTTGGATGACATAACAAATTAGCATATCCAGGACTTAAACAAGTCTCAGACTGTAGGATACACAGCAAAGTGTGTCATGGTAGGCACTCCAGTCTGCATTGCTTGCCTTTGAAACGGCACTCTAATTTCTAGAGTGCCAAACTCTCCCTATATTATTGCATTCTATTCGTAGCTTATCATCAAAACAGTAATGTGAGAAGTGTCCAAATACAAAGGTAGGAAAGAAGAACCTGTGCAATATCATTAATAAATTGATAGTGATAAAACTTTTGAGACAGCGAAAAGATATACCTGACAGAACTTCATTCCTACTTTTGTGCATGAAAATTTTTTTATGTACTGGTGTAGGTTATCCTTTAGAAAGGTTACCTATTTGTAACATCAAATGGTTACAATAAATCTGTAATTGATCGATTTGAGTTATATTACAGTTTGCTTAGATCTAATAGTTGATTTATGTGGACTTTCAGATTCCTTACTGGGTAGAATAGAAAAGATAATCATTTGGCACTTTAACATCCTAGAGTCATAATTCAGCTTCATTGGGGTAATTTCTGTTTGGTATTGCTCTCTAGCAGGAATAGATTTTCATTTCCTACTGTCCTATTATATTTTGTCAGGAGTAAAAACATGTAGCAAATTGCAGCTTGACAATATTTGGAAGGTCCTCCTTATGTCAACAAAGATTGTTGAAATTGAAACACACTGCCTGCTAATGCTTCTTCAATGCATACTTACCATACTGCATCACTCATGCCTAAATAATTCTGTAATTCTGTAAGACAATTGCTTATTATTTCTAATGTAAAGTTAGTTATTTTTCATACCATTCTAACAGCAATACAAAGCCATACTGCACTCAAGAGAACCACATCTTATGACTCTTAATTAATTTAAAATATAATGAGAAAAACCATAGTCCATGAACAGCCAAAGTTTTCTAAGACGATGGGAACTGGGCAGAAACATTCTATTAGATGAGCAAATGCATAATGTGTTTTCAGCTTTAAATGTTTAGAACTAGCCTTCACTATTACCACACTCACCAACTTAAAAATTAAAACACCATTTTATTGAATTATTGGTATACAGCATGATTGCTGTGAATTTCTAGTAGTTAGGTGATAATTTTAACCAATAGAAAATAGATGTACAGTTAAATGATGTTTTAAACATTCTTTGCAGTATTAAGGATTTGTACTCTCTAACATAACTACAAAAGATCATAGCCATATTTTACAGTTTGGTAAATAGCTTTTGTAGGCTGCTCTTGCTAAAAATTTGCAATTACATTATGTCTGTTTCAGATACTCCTTTCAGTCTTAAAAAGTAAATAGATTAACCTGATAAATATAGCCTACCAAAAAGCAATTTACACATTCTGTGCTGGCAATCAGTCAAAACATATTGGTGATAATATCACTAAGCCTCTGCACTATCATTGCCTACAGTTAACCGCTGTTTATAATACACACTCTGGCCGCAGTCATATTCATTCAACAATCATGAATGTCTAATTTTAGCTAAAAGTTGTACTTCAACTAATTCAGCAAGCCATATAATGATCCAAATTGGCTTTTTAACAGCAACAGCTAGCAGAATATACCATAATGAATGTCCTAAAACCAAGTGGATACGAAATCTCGCATTCAAATAAATCTTTGAGAAACAAGTATCTTGACCCTGAATGCTAATTCATTAAGACCTTTATCTAGGGTTTTCCTTTAAGTCATAAAAAAATATTGTCACCCATACTGTCTTAAAAAGCGATCAGTATAGTTTCTAAGTAGGTATCTTCTGAAAACTAACCAGCTCTTTCTTTGACATAAGTGACAATCTGTGAATCCATGATCATTTCACTTCTCAGCATAGTTACTAGGAAATTGGTGTATGCATATGGCTGCAAATAATAAACTCAGCCTTCTAGGACACAAATCAAGATGAACAAGAAGTTAGATTTAAATTGGGAGGGAAACCCCAGAATTTAGCAGATAACTGTATATGTAGTCTCTTAAGACTTCCGATTTAGTCTAGCTACAGTAGTACTGCATCTGATCTACCCTCCTCCTCTTTCGAGACTGAAATTCTTCAAAAAATTGCTGGATGTCCTCTCGTTTAACAACCTGTGTTAACAAAAAGAAAACAAAAACAGGACGGTAATATAAATGTATAAAACATTTCACTGGTGTTTGAAGAATAATATTTAGATCTTTAAGAATGCACTAAAATCAAATGCACCAATCTAACCAAAATAAATGTTCACACATATTAAAATTTTAAAGCCCTAAAAGAATCATAGGGGTGGGGAAACTTGTCAAATTTCCAGTACATTGTGTGATATTTAAAGTGGCTATAATTTACTCAAATATATTAAATAGGATGCTACAATACAGAATTTTTGAACTTGAATCATTAAAAATTCAATTCTATTGTGTAACTTAGAACAGGACACATTATTTTTCCTGGGTACCCTTCAGATTTTAATTTATCAATGTCAGTTGATTCAACTTTACTCAAAATGCTGTTGGTGAAATACACTTAAAATCACCTTTCTACCATTTATACATAGTCATTTCATTTATATTAACATTCAAATTTATTTCCAGATCCACAACAGAAGCAGAAAGAGGAAACTAAGCAGCAAACTAAACTAATAAGAATTGAAGACTTTTTACTATTTATATTTCCACCATTCCCTTGGTTGGAGTTGCAAGAAAATTGGGAAGCTCTGAGATTTTACAAGACTTCTGTATCCCAGATACTTGATAAAAGACAAACAGCAGGTCTCCTAAAAACAGTAAGCCTCAATGTTCCAATTCTGCTATCCTTATGAACACAGAATTAGCAACTCAAATACCAAATTTTGAATATCTTCTATAATCATAAGTTCACTTACCAAATGCAAATAGTACTTAATTGCTACAACGTCTGTTGCATTTGTTTCTAATTTGCAAATAAGTCTTCTGATTTTAGATTTAAATCTTTGTATACTTTCATAATCATCTATGGCTAGTTGAGATAAGTTCAAGCTTATCTTCCCATTTTCAGACCACTGCTTTAACTTATTCAGACCAAACTACCATCAGTCTGATTAGTAACAGCATTATACCAAACAGGATTGTAGAAAATTTCTAAAACTGGTCAGTTTGGTCAAGGTCATCTAAAATCTGATTGGTCTGCTTGAATTTCCCACTTTGGAAGCTAGTCCAAGGTCCTGGAACATTTGCTCAATAATATTTAGCTTCAAGCAGTTGGCAGAGAGTGAAGACCAGAAGGTGCTATGGAGTTATGGGATCGTCCGGTAAGAAACTATGTTTCTGTGTTATTTTAATTAACAAGTGACCATTTTTGCTCTTCCCTATAGAACCCTTCATTGAAGTGTATTGAGTTGGAAATCTAATCTTTTTGCCTTATCCATGCTCTAGATTACTGGTAGTACATTCCTGCTTGGCTCTTAAGGAGGAAAAGGGGGGAAACTAGAGAAACAGTTTATTTAAGGAACTTAAGACTAACATGTTCCATGTGATCATTATTAATATAAATTATACAGGGGTTCAGTAGCATATTTACTTCTCAAATATGAAAAATGGCCCTAACAGTCTCACCTCTTATACAGCTGAAAATCCATATAGGCAGTCTGCCGAAATGGCAAAGGTAACAACTGCTATATTTTTAAATTATTCAAAGGATATTTTCACAATAGTATTAGATGATATTGTATACTTACTGTTCCTTCATTTGCAAATCTTCTCA